CTCCTTCTTGATCCAGCAAGGGAGAAGGAGAGGTTGAGGAAGATGGCTCCAGCAGCAGCACGACGGCGTGGTGGTGATGGAGCTGCAGTACTCCGGCAGGGCTTCGCCAAGCACTATGGAGGAGGAGGATGTGTTGGAGAGGGAGAGGGAGGCACCAAAGGCGTGGGGTGAGAGGCCCTCCTTCCCCCACTATATATAGGGAGCCTAGGGGGCGCCGGCCCTAGGAGATGCAATCTCCTAGGGGGGCGGCGGCCAAGGGAGGAATCCCTCCTCCCCAAGGCACCTAGGAGGTGCCTTCCCCCTTTAGGACTCTTCCTTTCTTGATCTCTTGGCGCATGGGCCTCTTGGGGCTGGTGCCCTTGGCCCATACAGGCCAAGGCGCACACCCCTACAGCCCATGTGGCCCCCCGGGGCAGGTGGCCCCACCCGATGGACCCCCGGGACCCTTCGGTGGTCCCGGTACAATACCGGTGACCCGGAAACTTGTCGCGATGCCCGAAATAGCACTTCCTATATATAATTCTTTACCTCCGGACCATTCCGGAACTCCTCGTGACGTCCGGGATCTCATCCGGGACTCCGAACAACATTTAGGTTACTGCATATACATATCCCTACAACCCTAGCATCACCGAACCTTAAGTGTGTAGACCCTACGGGTTCGGGAGACATGTAGACATGACCGAGACGACTCTCCGGCCAATAACCAACAGCGGGATCTGGATAACCATGTTGGCTCCCACATGCTCCTCGATGATCTCATCGGATGAACCACGATGTCGAGGATTCAATCAATCCCGCATACAATTCCCTTCGTCAATCGGTATGTTACTTGCCCGAGATCCGATCATCGGTATCCCAATACCTCGTTCAATCTCGTTACCGGCAAGTCACTTTACTCGTACCGTAGTGCATGATCCCGTGACCAGACACTTGGTCACTTTGAGCTCATTATGATGATGCATTACCGAGTGGGCCCAATGATACCTCTCCGTCATATGGAGTGACAAATCCCAGTCTTGATCCGTGTCAACCCAACAGTCACTTTCGGAGATACCCGTAGTATACCTTTATAGTCACCCAGTTACGTTGTGACGTTTGGTACACCCAAAGCACTCCTACGGTATCCGGGAGTTACACGATCTCATGGTCTAAGGAAAAGATACTTGACATTGGAAAACTCTAGCAAACAAACTATACGATCTTGTGCTATGTTTAGGATTGGGTCTTGTCCATCACATCATTCTCCTAATGATGTGATCTCGGTATCAATGACATCCAATGTCCATAGTCAAGAAACCATGACTATCTGTTGATCAACGAGCTAGTCAACTAGAGGCTTACTAGGGACATGTTGGTGTCTATTATTCACACATGTATTACGATTTCCGGATAACACAATTATAGCATGAATAAAGACAATTATCATGAACAAGGAAATATAATAATAATTCTTTTATTATTGCCTCTAGGGCATATTTCCAACATTAATTTGGGCTACGCTATGAATAGTGTTGGCTATAGATTTCTAGTAGTGAAATCTGAGGTACCATACATGAAGGTCGGTAAATTATGGAGTCTAAAGATGCTACATTCTTTGAGGACATTTTCCCCATGAGAGATGTACAAAGCACTTCTAGACAGGAATCTGAGGAGACTCCTGAACCTACCATTCCGATGGAATATTATAATCAAACATGTGATGAAAATCCTGAGGAGGATAATGAGGAAACCCTTGGTAGGGGCAAGAGACAAAGGACTGTAAAGACCTTTGGTGATGATTTCTTCATATACCTCGTGGAGGATAATCCCACTTCTATTTCAGAAGCGTATGCATCTCTAGAAGCTGACTACTGGAAGGATGTGGTCCGTAGCGAGATGGATTCCATCATGGCTAACGGGACTTGGGAGCTTACTGAACGTCCTTATGGTTGCAAACCATTGGGATGCAAGTGGGTGTTCAAGAAGAAGCTTAGGCCCGACGGTACGATAGAAAAGTACAAGGTTAGGCTTGTGGCCAAGGGCTACGCCTAGAAAGAAGAAGATTTATTCGATACTTATTCACCTATGGCTAGACTGACCACCATTCGAGTATTACTCTCGTTGGCGGCCTCGCATGGTCTTCTCATTCATCAGATGGATATTAAGACGGCTTTCCTGAACGGAGAGCTAAAGGAGGAAATCTATATGCAACAGCCTGATGTCTTTGTGATGGATGGTCAGGAAGGAAAGGTGTGTAAGTTGGTGAAATCTTTGTATGGCCTGAGACAAGCGCCTAAGCAATGGCATGACAAGTTTAATGAAACGTTGACATCTGTTGGCTTTGTTGTTAATGAGGCCGACAAATGTGTATACTATCGCTATGGTGGGGGCGAGGGAGTTATACTGTGTTTGTATGTTGATGATATACTGATATTTGGGACTAATCTCAAGTTGATCGAGGAGGTTAAGTCTTTCCTATCTCAGAACTTTGAGATGAAGGACCTTGGAGTGGCTGATGTTATCTTGAACATCAAGCTATTGAGAGATGATGAGGGTGGGATTACACTTCTGCAATCCCATTATGTTGAGAAGGTGTTGAGTCGCTTTCGATATTCGGACTGCAAACCATCTCAAACACCATATGATTCTAGTGTGCTGATTCAAAAGTCTAAAGGCACAGCTATAGATCAATTGAGATACTCTCATATTGTTGGTTCACTCGAGTATCTAGCGAGCGCAACGAGACCTGACATCGCATTTGCTATTAGCAAACTGAGCCGATTTGTTTCCAAACCGGGTGATGTACATTGGCGTGCTCTAGAGAGAGTTATGCGCTATCTGAAAGGTACTATGAACTATGGGTTTCACTATACCAGATACCCGTCGGTACTTGAAGGGTATAGTGATGCGAATTGGATCTCTGATGCTGATGAGATGAAGGCCACAATTGGGTATATGTTTACTCTTGGAGGTGGTGTTTTTTCCTGGAAGTCTTGCAAGCAAACGATCTTAACAAGATCGACAATGGAAGCAGAATTAACAACATTAGACACACCGGGTGGCGAAGCAGAATGGCTTCAAGATCTGTTGATGGACTTGCCAGTGGTTGAGAAGCCGGTTCCGACCATCCTTATGAAGTGCGACAACCAAACAATTATTGTCAAGGTGAAGAGTTCAAAGGACAACATGAAGTCCAACAAACACATAAGAATGAGATTGAAAGCTGTCAGAAAATTAAGGAACTCCGGAGTGATAGCGTTGGATTATATTCAAACGACTAAGAATCTGGCAGATCCATTTACTAAAGTGCTATCACGTGTTGTGATAGATAGCGCATCAAGGGAGATGGGTATGAGACCCACATGAGTTGCCATGGTAGTAACCCAACCTATGTGATCAGAGATCCTGTGAAGTAGGATCTGGGAAAACAAGCCAACGGTGAACTGAGGAGAGTAACTTTACTAACCCACTCCGTTGGATATGCAATACTCTCGAAAAATGTATGGAAGGATGACTGTTGTCTTAATGTGTTCCAAGGCTTATATGTATAAGCAAGATGCTATCCTACAGAGCGATCTTTGGAGGAACACACCTATAGGAGCCCGACTGCTGGTCATAGTCTATGAGATTGGGGTGATCTCTAGCAAGCTCATGAACAGGCCAGGAGTGTGACTAATATGCTCCACCCGAGGGGTCGGCCTTCGGCAGCCTCGTATCAGTGAGACTTGTGGTGAAACTTCTTGACACCAAACTGACAATTCAAGGCATAGTCCATTGTTCAGTTGTGAAGGAGTGTAGCTACTTGGTCTAGGTGGAGCTCAACCTTAATCAGTCTCCACTGATATGCTGGTATATCAAAACAGCGTTTGGAACAAAGGACAAAGTGGGCCCTGAGATCTGGTGGGGGATTGTTGAAATATGAGATGGGCCTAGAGCTCATATGACAATTTCAGATTTAATCTTTAAGGGCTCATGTAGGTGGCATGACAAGGTGGTGGGAAGTTTAGTCCCACTCCGGAAGTGGAAGGAGAGTTGGAGTGGTTTATAAGGGATTCTCTCCCTCGTGCTATTGGAGCTTGAGAAGAGATGAGGCCCTCGCGCACTCCTCCTCCTCCGCTCGCCTCGTCACGACGCGTCGCGCCGCGCCGCGCCGCGCCGCGTGATTGAGCCGAGCCGAGCCGAGCTCACTCCTATGCGCTTCTTTTTGCCGGTCAGGAACGAAGAGTCTTTGACAGGTAGGGCCACGATCTGAAACGTCGGATTATGGGCTACCGACTTGGACGTGGGTTCAGCCCACGTCTCTCCACGCGCAGACGCACATATATATGTGGGGCACTGCCAACCCTAGCTGCCGCGAAAACCAAAACGCATCTCCATCTCCGCTTCCACGCCCACGTCGTTCCTCTGCTGCTGCTGCTGCCGGCGACTCCATCCCGTTCACCGCGTACACGGTTGACGGGAGAGCAGACCTCCGAAACCCGTCTCTCCGGATCCTGTACGGGAGAGGGGCGATTAGGTTTTTGGGTAGCTACTACGCGACTGCTCGCTTCTGTTCATCTACGTCCGCACCACCTTCGTCATCACCATGTCGACCGACGCCGACCGTGCCGCCGCTGAGAAGGCCGAGGCCGACAAGAAGGCCGCCGAGGATGCCGCGGGTGCTGTCACCGCAACCACCACCGCGTGGCCGATTGAAGGGTATACATCACTTATCTCTCTCATGTTTTTTTCTGTTGTAGCAATACTAGCGATATGCGTAGATGTTTCTACTATATGCGTAGTACATGCTCTGTTAGATCGTAATCAGTGTCTTATCAATGTTGTCCATGTCATGCTCATGATTTATTCATGGATTAATTTAATCGGAAAACTGCCTATTTACTTATCATGATTTAAGTTCTACTATGCTTGTTTTGCCACATATCGGCCGTTGTTTACACGGCCTACGAATTAGTCGATCAGGCAGGCAGGCAGGCAGCGAGCACACCGGTGGCCGGCCTCCGGCGACCCGTGTGTTTTCACGGGACGAAGTACATGGGGTTTGGTATCTTGAACACGCGGTCACCGACGTTGTCGCCCTGCAGGTCGCTCCACTGATCCCCGACGTTGCCGCGGATCCTGTAGCCCTCGTCCACCAGCTGCTTCCTCATCGCCGACTTGAACACCGACGAGCTCTGCCCTCGGTACTCGGGAGTTCTGCAAACACATTCCGATCATGTTCTATGCCAGAAATCAACCTTGCCTCTCTCTGAATAGTAGCAAGGGATTCTCTATTACCAAAAATAGTGTGTGTTTAAGTCACCAAGAGGGTGTTGGTAGTGTACCTCATCATGAGCCTCTCGTACCCTGAGAACCCTTCTGACTCCAGATTCTGGGACGTGCCGGAGCCCAGAGTCTCCTCGTCCCTCCCGGAGACAAGGAAGGCCTTGAATCCCTTGTCCTGCAGCGCCGCGAACAGCTCAAGGACCGGAGGTATCCCCGGGCAGGCCCCCTGGCTAGCCCACTTCTTGAAGGCCATGGGATCGTACGCCCTGAAACACATCATATATTATTCGCTGGCTGCTAACTCTACTTGAAACTTGAAAGTAGAAACACGTTCTCTCGTTGCACTTGCACACAAGGAAATGGAGACGCACGTACCCGAAGCGCTTGGCCTGGTAGTAGAGCAGGTTGGAGAGGCAGGTGTCGTCGATGTCGAAGATCCAGGCGTCGAGGCCGTCGGCGGCGGCGGCGATCTGGTCGACGTACGCGGACACCTGCTCCATGACGCTGTCCAGGTCCCTGCCGTACTGGCCCCGGGTCATGTAGGCCTTGACGTAGCCGACGCAGGGCGCCGGCACCGTACGCCAGCCCCGCGCGTTGTTGGCCTCCACCATGACGCGCCAGCTGAGGCAGCCGGCCTCGTCGTGCGTGGCCGAGCTCGGCCAGAAGCTCGGCTTGGCGCAGCTTACGAAGCCGCCGCCAAGGGAGAGGAGGTGCGTGATCACCACCCACAGAGCAAGCGCCTGGGAGGAACCCATCAATGCCGCGCGCCCGGGATTACCAAACAAACGTGGGCTGGACAAAATACTCGAAGTAATGAGTTGGTACGTACGTCGTACGTAGGAGAAACACACCACATATCAGTCGTGAGAGACTCTTTCCAGGTCACGATCATGTTCCATTTCCAAACAAAAAGGGAAGGAAGGAGTAATAAGGAAGATCGTAATCTAACCTGGATCGACGCGCTAATAATGCTCGCGGCAGGCAAGGCAGACGGGTCGATCGAGACTGGTGTCCGAGTAGCAGCAGCCGGCGTACGTGTGGATTTTATAGGGAGGGGATCCAGGCCAGGCCAGGACCGGAAGGTTCGTGTCATGAGTCAGCCTCCAGTGCAAGGAAAAGAATAGGAATGATTACGCCATGGAAGAAGCATGCGGCCTGCGTTGGGGTTAGGACGATGGTGCCCCATTTGCACCGCAGCGCCAGCGCGCTCCGGTGCGCGCCACGTCAACGCAACCGCGCCGCCACTGCTCGCTAACGAATAACGATCGTGTGTGTGATGGCGACCTCGCCAAAGTTGGCTGGCCGGCTGCTCTTTGTTAATCGATCAAGGCTAGCTGATGGTGCTGGTCAACAAGCGCTGACAAAGCAAACGTTGGGTTGGGAATTGCACGAGTGGAAGGACATTGACCACCAGATGGGAACCCCAACCCCTCCTACTAACGCCACGCACAACATGTCTGCCCTTTTTGCCGGTGCCGGCCATGTACACCGGCCCCAGCTCCACGCACGCACGACAACAAAGTCCACTGGGGATGATGGAGGGATCTAGGAATAATGGAGCATTAGATCATCTTAGCGGACTCGTCGTATTATTATTCTTCATACAGTTTTGTTAAAGCATATTTTGATGTGCTATAAGTATTGTACATCTAAATTCTATTTTTTCATATTTATACGGAGCATGTTTTATATGTATTAGCCTATTATAGGGAGGCTGTCGAGGGAGGGTGCCATGGAGAGTTCTCCACAAGAAAATTTCAACTTTTGTTGGGCACAACAATTGCCAAATTTCATTCCAATAGAATTAGCAGAATAGCACCATTTATGTCCTGTGTCAAAGCCGTTCACCAAATTTATAATTCCATTCTACGATCTTACGGAGAAGGTGCCACCCTTTGTAATGTTCCAAGCAACGTTACCCTGTCACGTATCCATGCATCCTCCCATAATTGTCCATCCCCGGCTCTTCAGATATAACTGTGACGTAGCACATTTACTCCAGCCATGTTACCATGTCACGTAAAGGACAACCTCTTCTTGAGCTTCGCCTCTAAATAGTTGCCATCCAGATAATATTTCTCACCAAGAATAGAACACATAGCGACTCTCAGTTCTCAAGGAGTCTCATTGCTTGCTTTTCCAACATTGCTAAGATGAAACCGTGGATATCAAGAAAACTTATCCCTCCTTTACTCTTTGGCGCACACATTTTCACCGTGCCATTCAATCCATATTTTCCTGGTTGTTCTTGTCACCTTACTGTCCATGGATAATTGTTGAGATCGGACATTAGCGAGCTCTCCTAGATTGTTCGTCCAGGTGTTAAAACACTAAGTCACTTCAGTTTACCCAGGTTCAAGCCACCGCCGAGATGTAACACCCTACTCCCGCGTTGTGTGTTCTTTCTTGTATATCGAGAGCTCTCATGCTTACATGGGC